CTCTATAGGGCTTTTAATGGCTGTTTTTGTTGTTGTTTTTGTTTTACTGAAGTAGATCACTTGGTCTTTCTTTTGAAGTACCTCTGGATGGACTTGAACCGTCATCCTGTCTAATAGCAACCAGACACATTAGCATTTGGCTGTTGTTAGGTGCCATCAAGTCATTTCCTACTCATAGCAACCCTATGCACAACAGAATGAAACACTGCCCGGTCTTGGACCATCCTCACAGTTGTCATGTTTGAGTCCATTGTTGCTGCCACTGTGTCAGTCCATCTTGTTGGGAGTCTGCCTCATTTTCACTAACCTTCCACTTTACCAAGCATGATGTCCTCCAGGGATTGGTCCCTCCTGGCACCAGTTAAGGACTTAACTTGTTGTTAAGTGCCATCAAGTTGGTTCCAACTCATAGCAACCCTGTATAGGATTTCCAAGGAGTGCTGTTGAATTTGAACTGCTGACCTGGCAGATAGCAATCTGGTGCTTATCCTACAGCACCATACCAGGACTTCATTTATAAGAATTAAGTGATATAATGTACATCAAGAAGTTAGAAAAGTAATTATTCAGTACTTGGTAGCTGTTTTATAATAGCATTAACTAGCTAGTGGTTACGAATCAGGCTGCTAATCTCACGGTCAGCAGTTTGAAACTACCAGATGTTCCACAGGAGAAAGATGATGCTTTCTGCGCCCATAAAAATTTACCTACTCAGAAACCCTGTATAGAGTCAATATGAGTCAGAACCAACTCCACGGCATATAACAACAACAGCTGCCCTGTTGGCTGTCCTTTTGGCACTATAAACACTAAACCCAAACCCATTGCCATGGAGTTAGTGCCAACTCAGCAAATTACAAGACTGTAAATCTTTACAGAAGCAGATAGCCTCACTTGCTCCTGTGGAACAACTGGTGGGTTTGAACTGCTGCCCTTGAAGTTTGCAGCCCAATATGTAACCCCCTGTGTTACCTATGGAGTCCAAGTGAAGCACTGTGAGCTAATGCGCTAGACTGCAGAATCGGTTTGAACTACAAGGTCAGTGGTTCAATCTCACCAGGCACTCCTCAGAAACCCTATACAGTGTTGTTATGGGTTGGAAACGACTCAACGGCACTTAACACAATGCCACCTATAGTCAAGATTACTGAATCATAAACATTTGATATAAAGGGGGTGGAACAGCTGTTAGGGAGTCCTTTGAAAATCTGGCAAAAGCTATCTATGGATCCTCTGCCTAGAAAAAAGTACTTAGATAACAGAAAGTTCTTGGACTCGGTTTCTTCTGCTTCTTACCTTCTTTTCTGATCTCTCCTCTGTTAGGTTTGTGTTTCAGCTGAAGATACACTAGGGGCCCAGGCTATCCACAGAGCAGCAGTCACTGGGCAGAACGAAGCCATCCAATTCTTGGTCTCTGATCTTGGCATTGATGTAGATGTGAGAGCAACATCAACCCACCTCACAGCGCTTCACTACGCAGCTAAGGTTTGTGGATTTCCTCACTGTGTCCCTGCTGTACTCACTGATGGATAGCTCCAGAGCCCTGGTTTATTTAGCTCCATCAATTTCTGTGGTAGAAATTGCCCATAATGTGCTCTGGAAATGTTCATCATTCTGAAGCCTGTATCCCTTTAAACAAAACCCTAACTTTATCTGTTTCTAAGCAAAGATTTAAAACAAGCAAACAAACCTTTACTCCATATGTTGTTGAGGTTGTTAAGTGCCGTAGAGTTGGTTCTAACTCATAGTGACCCTGCATAGGGTTTAAAGGAGTGGCTGGTGGATTTGAACTGCCAGCCTGTGGTTCAAACCAACCTTGCATTCCAGTGCATTATCCTGCAGCGCCACACCAGGATTCCTTATAATATCTGGGATTTACACTCCTCCTTCCTTGCCTTTTCTGGAATAATGTCATTTGAAGCATAAAGATCCATTTTATGAAATTCCTAGTTCTCTTATCCAGAGTCCTGCTTTTCCAGAGTTAGGATCTCTTGAACTGGGGTTCTCCAATGTATAAGCTGTTTAAACCAAAC